CACAATAGAGTGAGACTAGCCAGTTAGGAGTTAGACTAAGAATGTCATTGGTCGTCTATTGATGCAGGGCTTTACCTGCTAGTTTTTACTATACCAGCCATCTATTTCGTATTTCGTATTCTGTATTTCATATCTCTTATAAAGCTGTTATTTTATTATGCATTTTTATGGTACTAATATATCGTCTCCTGTTGCTTTTTTGAGCCGAGGGTCTCCTGGAAACAGCCTCTCTACCCTTCGGGGTAGGGGTAAGGTCTGCGTACATATTACCCTCCCCAGACCCCACTTGTGGGATTATACTGGGTCGTTGTTGTTGTTGTTGTTGTTGTTGTTGTTTATTGGGAAGAGTATGTTTTTCCGATTTAACAATCTCTGTTTTGCTTTGAGTTAGCAGTCTGATCTTTGGTATCATGGAAGAGCAGAATCAGCCAAATGCCCTAGAAGCACAATGGGGATTTCTTGGAAGTACAAATGATTCTTATTTTCTAGCGGGCCCTGAACTTAACAAGCAGTACATGGCAGGAGTTGGAATTGATGGGATCCATTATCTTCCTGTGCCTTCACCTCAGTGGATCCATAACCAGCAAACACCACAAAATTATGTTGAATATCTTGCAGAGAATTTGGTCTCTGAGGTTCAAGTTGATGCTTCCGCAGAAGCTTCTGGTTTCAGACTAGTTGATGGCTTTGCTGACATGATTGCGCAGGAGGTATGGCCATTTATCTGCATGCTTAGCCAATAAAACTGACAATCAACTGGTTTACCAGATATGAGATTAGAGTTTGGGGTACTATGTTCTGTTAGCAAGTCAAGATTCCTTGCATCACTGTGGTAACTATTTAAATTCATCTCTAATGAGAGAGTTGGAATTTTAACTTTTTCTGTAGATAAGATATCCGAGTCCTTATCATGAAGGGGTTCCACTCGACTTTTTAATTGGCTCAGAACATCAAGTTGGTGCCTTGGTAATGTTGAGATTATTTTCAATCTGTACTTCAAAGTTGGAGGAAAAAAAAAAGAAAAGAAATGTGACTATTTCATGAACTTTGGATCTTTGGAGGGCAGACATGGGAGCCAACAGGAGATGTCAGGCATGCTTCTGGACCTTGCGCTGAAGCATTAGCTGCTGGATCATCGTATCCTTCCAAAAGTTCTAGAAAATCAAGGGCTGCATTGTCTGATCAGGTAAGCCTAAATCCTTCAATCCTCTCTTGCTGTATGCATTGTCTGATTGGGGATTGATTATTTTCTTGCAGCTTTTATATACTGACTGTGCCTATCCAACCACCTTTAAAGAGTAGTACAAATATTACTGGCTCTTTGTTATTTGTTGTTGACATACAAGTTGTCTAGCACATGTAGACACATGTACTACATCATAGCTAGCACATGTATATGAGTTGTATAGTAGGTATAATTAGGTGTATGGCAACTAATAGATTAGGCGAATTAGTATTATAAATAGGCCTTGTAATCTTCTCTTCTAGATATGAAATATAGAACTTCTTTGGTTTCTAACATGGTATCAGAGCATTGAAGTTTTTTCATCAGTTTGTTGTTGGGAATTTTTTTTTCCCCGTTCGAATTATTTTTGTTCAGAACAGTCTTTCGCTGCTTTGATTCTATTTCACTATTTCCGGCCATTTTTTGCCCCGGCCGCTTCTTTACAGATTTTTCTACTCACTATTCCGACCAAAGTGGTATTGTCAGAATTTTTTTTTTCCTGACAACTTTCATTTTCCAAGATCACTGTTCCGGCACTGTTCACTGTTCAAA